CCTCCTCCCTTTCAGCAAATAAGGTTGTCATCTGCACATTATTGTTGTAATATTATATTGGATAGTATAATATATGATATAATATATTACTTATATATTATAATATAATATTGTTAATAAGCCTTCCTCCAATCCTAATGCCACATTCTTCTTCATATAAGCCAGTTTCTCTGATGATTTGCTCTGCATGCAGATTGAACAAGTGTGGTCAGAGAATACAACAACCCTGATGCACACCTGTGATTTTAACCCATGCAGTACTCCCTGTTCTGTTCACACAATTGCCTCTTGATCAGTGTATAAGTTCTGCATGAGCATAATGAAGTGTTCTATAATTCCTATTCTTCTCAAGGTTATCCACAGTTTGTTATAATCCACATAGTTGAATACCTTTGCAAATTCAATAAAACACAAGTAACTATCTTTCTGGTATTCTCTGCTTTTAGCCAAGATACATCTGACATCAGCAATGATATCCTTTGTTCCACATCCTCTATCCAGCCTGAAACTCTGGCAGCTCCCTGTCAGTGGACTGCTGTAATCATTGTTGGATAATCTTCAGAAAAAAAACTACTGGCATGTCATATAAGTGATAATGTCCTATAGTGTCAGCATTCTGTTGGGTCACCTTTCTTTAGAATGGGTACAAATATGGATGGATCTCTTCTAGTCAGTTGGCCAAGTAGCTGTCTTCCAATTGTGCTGGCATAGACGAGTGAGTGCTTTCAGTGCTTCATCAGCTTGTTGAAACATTTCAATTTGTATTCCATCAATTCCTGGAGCCTTCTTTTGGCTAATGCTTTCAGTACAGCTTGAACTTCTTTCTGCACCATTGGCTCTTGCTCATAATATGTTACCATCTGAAACATTGGAATGTCCACTAATTAGTTTTGATACAGTGATTGTGTCTTCTTTCCATCTTTTCTTGATGCTTCTTGTGACATTCAATATTTTCCCATATAATCTTTCAAGATTGCAACTCAAGGCTTGAATTTTTCTTGAATTCTTCTGATTTAAGATATGATTGGTTTTCTGATTCTAGGTCTTTGCACATTTCATTATAATATTTGCCTTTTTCTTCTCAAGGTGCCCCCTGAAATGTTCTATTCAGCTCTATGACTTCATCAATTGACTCCATCATTGATGAATATCAAATATTGTAGCCTTCAATATGGATTACAACTCAATGTAAAGAAGATCAAAATCCTCGCAACTGGACCAATAGGATAAATGGAGAAAAGGTTGAAGTTGTCAAGGACTTTGTCTTGCTTGGAGCCACAATCAATACTCATGGAACCAGCACTCAAGAGATCAAAAGACAAGTCGCATAGGATAAATCAGCTGCACAAAACATCTGTACAGTATTGAAATTCAAGGCTACTAATTCAAGGACTAAGGTCCACCTGATCCAATCCATGGTATTTTACATCGCCTCATATGCATGTGAAAGTTGGATATTGAGTAAGGAACACTGCAAAAGAGTAGATGTGTGTGAATTGTGGTGTCAGAGAACACTGAAAGTAACATGGACTGCTAAAAGGACAAACTGGTCTGTCTTGCAAGAAGTACAGCCAGAGTGCTCCTTAGAGACAAGGAAGACAAGACTTCATGTTACATACTTTGGACATATTGTCAAGAGAGACCAGACTCTGGAGAAGGACATCATGCATTGTGAAGTAACCAGACAGCAAAAAAGAGGCAGGCCCTCAAGGAGACTGGCGGACACAGTGACTGCAACAATGGGATCAGGCACCTTTGTTCTGTTGTGAATACAGTCGCTATGGGTCAGAACCAAATCAATGCTACCTAACAAGAACAACACTCCTTGGGAATTAATGCAACCCAGCAATCAAACACGGTGGTAACCAGCCTCCAAGATGGACCCTATGTCCTATATCCTCCTTATATTCGTTGCCTTCCACATTTTACCAGAATGGTCTATACGGACAACAAAATAGAACAGAAATGATTGGCATGTCATTATAGCATCTTCTTGGTCACTCTAATACTCACTACCTTTCTTTGATTACTCATTCTAGGGGATGCCATGTCATGAGCATCCCTATGGAGAAGTCTAGGAGGTAAGGAAGTGACATCCTGCCTAAGGCCATGTGTGAGCTTAGAAGTAGATCCTGCAGCCCCAGTCAAGTTTTCCGATGACTATGACCTGATCTGACAGTGTAACTGCAACCCCATGACAATCCCTAAAATAAAACCACTAAGTTATTCCTGAGACTGTATGAGCTGTTGATTCTTGTTTTGACCTAGTCAAGTTTTAGGGTAATCTGTTATGTAGCAACAGATGGTATAAGTACTTTCATGGACAACTGCAAGGTTATTATATAATAAAGTAGGTAACTCAAAATGACAATGTTTTGGTGGTATGGTGGGTTATACATCGGGCTGCTAACCACAAAGTCAGCAGTTCCAATCCACTAGACACTCTATGGGAGAAAGATGAGGCTTTGTACTCCTGTAAAGATGTACAGTCTCTGCGTCAGACAGTGTAAGATATGACAAAATAATAATTTATAAATTATCAAGGGTTCATGAGGGAGTGGGGAGTGGGGAGGCTTAGGGGGAAATGAGGAGCTGATGCCAGGGGCTTCAGTGGAGAGCAAATGTTTGGAGAATGATGAGGGCAATGAATGTACAAATGTGCTTTACACAATTGATGTATGTATGGATTGCGATGAGTTGTATGAGCCCCTTAGAAAATGATTTTTTAAATAAAGAAACACACAGGGGCAGTTCTACTCTGTCTTATAGGCCACGATGAGTCAGAATTGGTTCCCTAATAGTGAGGGAGATGCTGTCTTACACTCTCCTTAGTAAGTCACTATGTCCTCATGAAGCATTGCTATGAGTCAGAATCAACTCCGTAGTGAGTTTTGTTTTGTTTTTATGCCTTCGTTAACTAACTACCCATACATTTGAGGATAGTTTAATGAAGAATTCTCTAAAAAATCCAAGTCCACAGCAAACTCTTCCATTTAACTCAAACCAGTAGATAATCATTTTGTGTTTATTCCATCTGAGATACTGTCAACTTAAGGAATGGCTAACTCCTAAAGAACTTATACAGTCTAGAAGGGAATATAGAATATGACGTAGGATAATGCGAAATCACATCCAAATGATGCAAACCAGGAAAAATTTCACTAAGGAGGTTTGGGGAAGAATGAAAAGAATTCTGAGATGCAGAGATGGAGGTAGAAGCAGCAAAGAATGAAATGAAACCCATCGCTTGCTGAAAGAACCCTGGTGGTAGAGCTCCATTCTACTCTGTCCTATAGGATTGACATGAGTTGAAACTTACATGATGGCTGTGAGTTTGGTTTTATTTATTCCTGACTGAAGCTACAAAACAGTAGTCTGAGCAAAGGAGTAGAAAAAGGACACAGATGAAAAGAAGCTATTACTGACAGTTTACCACGTGCCAGGAATATTTTATTTTCTAGATGTTGGTTAACCTCAGGGTTAAAACAAAAAACAAAGGTGCACTATTATATCCTCATTTTGCAACTAAAGAAACTAAGGTTACTGGCATAGAGGAGCCCCTGGTGGTATAGTGGTTACACGTTGGGCTGCTTAATGGGAAGGTCGGTAGTTCAAACCTTCTCCATGAGAGAAGGACAGGCTTTCAACTCCCCTAAAAAATTACGATCTCAGCAACTCACAAGGACAGTTAGTTCTACCTTGTCGTATAGGTTCGCTATGAGTCAGCATCAATGTACCATGGCATTGACTTTGGAGGTTTGGGGGATGGCTCAAGTTTCAAAATCAGCTCCAACTCCAGTCAATATTTTGGGTTTTATGGGCCATATGGTCTCTATTCTAACTGACTAAACTGTGCTGTAAAGCAGTCATTAGTCATTGACAACACATTCAGAATGGGTGAGCTGGAGGCCTAATAAAACTTTATTATAAAAACAAGCTACTGGCCACAGTTTGCAGATTCCTAGGGGAAATTAAGGTTTTAGGAAAAACACGATTGAGAAATGAATCTAGAAAATCAGGGGTCATATGGAGACATATACTCTTATTTTCATACATATTAGGGATCCTCTGAAAACAATGCATTAGATGGCAACGAAACTGCACCTGAGAAAGAGGAATGTGGACAGTGGTATGCAAAATAGACTGACGAGGGCCGAAAATGACATTAAGAAAATAGGATTAGATCGGTGACCTTGCCTCATACTTAAGTAAGAATACAGACCTCTTGAATCCTGCTCCATTGTAGATTCTCACCAACAAACTTACACACTCATCTGTACAGTGATGCCTCAGTTGTCAGACTCAATTGGTTCTAAACTCGTGTTTGAACACCAAAAATGTCCAAGAATGGATCATATTTTATTGTTGGTCCTGAGGACCCCAAATTACACTTATCAATTCATTTTTTCCAGGACTTTAAGTCACTATGGAGGCTTTTACCCTTCTCATGTATCACGTCTCGGATATGCGACGGCTTTCAAGTAGTTTTCGATTTATCCAAAGTAACAGTAACTGTTCAATCTCTTCCATCGTCTGGGTTCTTTGTTTCATGCTTAACGATTTCACACCCTTAACTGCTTTCATCTTTTTTTTTTTTCCAAAAATGTTGATAATGTCGACTTAGCCATGTTGAATACGGTCACCAAATCAGACAAGCGGTGACCTGATTAAAATTCCACAGTGCTTTCTTTCCTTAACTCTATCATGGTACTCACAGTTTTCCTCTTAGTTTTACTGCTGGTATCACTAACTTCTTTGGGACCATAATTTCATATTTTAGGCAAATAAAGCATTATAAACACAACGTTTAACACACTAACACAAACACTATATTCGAATGTTGTCTGAGCGAGAGTGGTGCTTAGAATGAAGCGTCATCCCTTTGTGTCCAAGGTGACTTGACTCGTGACCCACTCTGAGACCGTATGGGGTTTTTGCAAGTCACAGTTTTGATTGAATTATCAAGCAGAGTTCCAAACACCAAGCAAACAAAAACTTTGCTGTTCAAATAGTGGAAAGTTTGAGCCTGAAGCTGCTCAACAACTGAGGAACTTAGGTATTAGTACCTAATTTCTCATTTTTTCTGATAAAATGCATTATATGTCTTTTCTTTACAGTGACTGTGATCTGCATGCCAGCCCCTCCTGTATTCTCAAGAACTCTGCAACCTGGGTTATACTCTCTCTCTCCGGTTGTACCCATCTTTCTGGTCCTCCTAGCTCACTTCCACCAGCATACTAAACTGCTATTTCTCATTGATCCCATGTTTCCCTCTAGCTGCCCGCCCATTTCACTGTTCCCCTTCATGATCAAGATATGCCAAAGAATGATCTATACCCCCTTAACTCCTATTCAGTTGATCTTCCTCATTCATGATTCAATCAATACACTCTGGCTTCTGCTCTGTCCTTTCTTTGGAGATACTCTGGTCAAGATCGTCAATAATCTCCATGATACAGAATTAATTCTTTGCACTCTTATTCCTTGACTTTGTAGCAGTACTTTGCATTTATGACATTACTGTTTCCTACCTTTCCTTCCCCCTCCAAGAGTTCTCTGTTGGCCCTTCATCCTCTACCCTGTACATATCATATTCTAAGGGCTGTTTCTCCTCTCATGTAGTTGTTTCAGCAAAGTCCATGGATTTTAAATATCATTTTTATGTTGATGATTTCCAAATTGATAGCTCTCTCCAGCCTTCTCCAGAAGTATAGGCTTGAATTTCCAATCACCTGTCTGTTATTTCCCCCTAAGGTGTCTTGCAGATTTCTCAAGCTCAATTATTTTCATCCTCAAGCTTGTCAACCATTCTCTTCCCTAGAAATTACCTGTTGTTTTCCCTTTCACCTCAAATCTAGGTATAATCCATTAACAAAATGACCAAATCTAGTTGGTTTTGTGTCTAAAATATACCTCAAATATGCCCCCTTCTCACTATGTCTACTCTAAAGGGTATGGTTAAGATGTCATCGTCTCGTGTAAAAGGCTCCTAAGAATTCTTACTATGTGGCACTATGGCCTCCCTCCACTCCACACAGTGACAGAAATGACCACCTTAAGATGTATTAAGATCATAACAGTGTATTGAAACATATCACTCCCCTGTTTAAAACTCTCTAATGCTTTCTATTATACTTAAGGAAAACATTCAAACCACATAGGTTTCTCATGGCCAATAAAACCCAGAACAATCTTTCCCCGTGTCTTTTTTCAGTATAATTGAGTCTGGTTGTTTTCTTGCTCTTTAAACTTCGCTGGCTTCTTTCACTTATGACCTGCCTTCAAATCTTTGCCTATATTATTTTCTTTGCCTGGAATGCAGATATACTCATTCTATGGCCATCATTTTGCTATCTACCTTCCAATATTTGCATGGCTCTTTGTTCTCCTTAGCTTTAACTTCAAGGCCACCTTCTCAGCAAGCTCTTCTGTGAATCTTCCCCCACACCCTCTTTCCTTCACAGCGTTTACTGCAACTTTACACGGTCTTCTTCTCTACTACAAGCAGGGATCATGACTGTTAGGGGTCCTGTTGATCTGAACATTTTATACGGTGTTTGGAACATATTGGGTACTCAGAAGTAGAATTATCTGTATTTGACTTAGAGAGTCGGCACCAGGAAAAGCTACCCACCAACAAAGAACCATGCCAAGTGCTGTGGGGTCAACTTCTTAGAAAACTTATTAGAGCAGTGGTTCTCAACCTTCCTAATACCGCGACCCTTTAATACAGTTCCTCATGTTGTGGTGACCCCCAACCCTAAAATTATTTTCGTTGCTGCTTCATAACTGTAATTTTGCTAATGTTATGAATCGGGCGACACCTATGAAAGGGTCATTCGACCCCCAAAGGGGTCACAACCCACAGGTTGAGAATCGCTGTATTATAGCCTTATTATAGCCCAGCCTATCCCTGAAATATACTGCCTGCTTGACAATCATTAATGATGTCATTACTTGCTCAAAAACCATTACTTTTTGGTGGCATGCCTAAGACATGAATGTCTCTAAATCAAATTATTTAGAATAGGTTTACAAATAAAGATTAAAATTTAAAACATGTATCTCTAACAGTCAGTACCATGTAATCAGCAAGATAAAAACATGAAAATAATTATATGTCTTATGGGGTTTCTGGAGGTGGTAAGGTTAGTGCTAAGCATTTTATACCCCTAATATCATTGAACTCTCACATTCTCTCTTTCAAGTAGGTATTAACTCCATTTTAAAGATGAAGAAACTAAGGAAGAGCAAGATTATATCAACTTTCCCAAAGTCTGTCATAGTTAATAAATGTCATAGCTGGCATCTGATCCCAAATACATTGGAACCGCACACCTCATGCTACTCACACCCCATGCTAATCACACACAGGGCCAGAAGACCTGCATCCAAATTCTCTCCAAGTGTTTTGTGAGCTGAGTGATCTTGGGCGAGTCACTATGCACAAAGGGGCTTTTAAAATGTTATAGAGAAATGTCATTATCTTTCATTTCCATTTTCCATGTACTTTTTGAAGCCCCCTCTTTGTTTACATCATACATTGTTTTAGAAAGATATGCAGGGTATTAGAAAGAGGTGCAAGGTACACCGGGTATTGACACCTGCTCTTTTCAGAGCCAGTGACAATGCCTTGCTAGGGTAGTACTGGATTTGAGTTCAAGTAAGAGGTGGCAATTTAATTACAGAAAACATCTTAAGATACATTGAATACAGCCTAGATTCACTCCCTGTTCCTACTTAGCCTAACACATGCCATGATTGTCTTGTTTCTCCTTTCAGCCTCTGTTTAATTTCATAATTTGCTGCATTGCTCAGAGGCAAATGTGAGACTTCCTGAAAGAGACTCCAAATAACTTTGAGGGTTTTCTCATATTTTCCTGGCTGTTATCACCCCAAAAGCTAATTCTTTCTATGTTTTTCGTTAACAGAGACACCCTGGGACTAAGACTTAAAAAGAACCCTACTGTTCTGTGTGCTTGTTCCTGGTCAACCGCTATTCATTTCCTGTAATCATCCGGAAACTTGACTTAATGTGAAACATCTCTACGTGACTCCCCCAAAAGAGTGAATTCCAAAACAAAGAGATATAACCTTTATGTTTCCTGAGCATAGACGACAGTCCATCAGGAGAGCCTGCGTTGCTGTTGATTCTCTCCACTGGTGTCATCTTTAAACAAAGTCTCTCCTTTTCCCTCTATCATACGAGTTAGTGAATTGACAGTGCTGCTTGGCCCATACCCTTCACGGTGGTAACAATAACAGCAGGAATCAAAAGCACAATTTCCCTGAGAGCTGGAAGTGTATGGAATGTTACCTTGTTCTATTGATGTCATGGATTCATTCTCTTTCGCGGTGGGCTCCTCCAGATCACTACTGGACAAATCATCAGGAACTGAAGTTTCAGGAAGGGGATCAGGTGATTCCTGAGTCTTTTCTAGTGGAGGTTTTATGTGCATCATTGCTCCAGCAGCATCTGGGGACTTTTCCTTTAAAGTCAACAGGTGAAAGAAGTTGTTAAATGAGTGTATATATTGAACGGTGACATAAAAGACCCTGCAGCTGGCAAAAACATTTCAGAGAATGCCCACAAAATCTGCCAATGTTCCACAGTACTCACTTTTAATAATCTCCCAAAGGTTGTTCTTTTCTTTCTCATAGTGGTTTTTAAATGGTCATTCCCTCTCACGCACCCAAACACCCATGATAGTAAAGTGTGTATGCTTTCTCTGCCTTCCCTAAGCAACCAGAATTATTCACTAAATATCAACAAACAACAGTGACAAAAACATACTGGTGGGGACGTTTCCCAATCTTTCCATATATGAGGAGGCTTCAAACAATTCCTGGAAAAATGGAATGAAAAGATAATAGAACTCCCCCACAGAGTTTTGAACCCCCCTCATATACCTTATTGTAATAAAAATCCAAGAAGGAATACACGCTAGAATGTAAATGTTTGTGATGTCTCCTTTAACAATGGTTTCCATTTTTCATTTTAAAAGTCAATTTTGAGAGAGACTAATCTATCTGGCAAACTGAAGCCCTTATTTCATTGTTTCATGCCTCATCATGTATAGAGCATACACTTCCACTGCTCCTGAGGTGTACCAAAAACACAAAACACACAGGTAAGGTTAAAAATCTCAGTAAACGCTCAGTCTGAAATGATGAGCTATGTATACGGACTGATGCTATGGACAGCACCACTGTTCAGAAACCTACTAAAGGTAAGTTTGAACTTTCTGATCCGTATGTTTGGCAAGTGGACTATGAATTCACTTGATTGGTTTGTGAGTTCTCAATTCTAGTCATTTTATTTAGTAAGTCTTACTGAAAGAACACATCTGTAATTTAAAAGTGGATTTTTTTTTGTCTGGCTTTCTTTGCAGTAGCAGATAATACTCTTAGATAGAATAGGCTATGACAGTACCCTCTCTCTTCTCCTAACACGGGCCGATAATGTTCTACGCAGTGTACTTTCTTGGGCTGATTCACATGTGGGCAGAGATGGCACTGGAGATAAGCAAGGCTCATTTATTTCATTGGTGTCCATTGCTTTAGCAAGTTGTGGAATGGCAACAACTAGCATGTGACATCCACCACAGGCAACCTGTAGCATAAATCCATGGAAAAAGTAATCATTAGCCTCAAATACAAATGGGTTTTGCCAGCTTTCAGTTATAAAACACATACTGTTCATTGAATTTTACTTCACAATACTTTCTTCTTTCTCTCCATAAACATGTACACACATAGTACAACTTGAGAAAATTAGAGCCTGCTTAAGGCAGAGACTTGCCCTAAAAGGAAAACTCAAATATTTACCATACCGCTCAAAGACAGAAAGCATGTGTTTCACAGGAATAATAAGGCAGTATGGTTATATGTATCTATATAAGCAAACTTGAAAAACACAATTATGCTTTCATTAAACACTGTTTTGAAAAGTTAAAACATTTAATCCACTATTCTACTTTCTTTTTGAAATTCAAATGAAGTATTCTTAGAGCACAGTCTCACTAAAATTTTTAAAACTATTTTGCACATTAAATGTCTTTTATCTTAATTGTTTTAGAAAAGATATATTTAAACTGGGAAAGAGCCTGGATAGCATTGTGGGTTAGGTGTTGGGCTGCTAATCATGAACTTATGGGTTAAAGCCCAGCAGCCCTGCTGCAGGAGACAGATGAGGCTGTTTGCGACTGCAAAGGATTCAGTCCTGGACCCCCTGTACAGGGTGGCTAGGTGTTGGCATCATCTTGATGGCAGGGGATTTTGTTCAGCTTAGCTATTCAACTGGGAGCAACATTTTTTTTAAATGTCTCTAAGCCTTTTTCTTCACATAAAAATGTTCAATGCATAATGCTTAAAAATCTTAAGAGCAAAGCCTGTACAATTATGGGTAATGATGACAGATAAAATCAACATTCAAATTTCATTGAGAAATATGATTTTCAAGAAAATGTTAAGAAAAAAACCCAGAGCATAATATTTATAATACACAAATTTCTAGCAACTTCATGTTGTTCGCGTAGAATGTTGTAAGCGTAGAATGCTTCGTGTTGTAAGCGTAGAATGCTCTGCAGTTTTCCCGACCATATTTATATAGGACTTCGAAAGATTATCTTCCCTTTAAGACAGTAAGGAGCATTGGTAGCATAGTGGATTGTGCATTCGGCTGTTAACTCAAAGGTCATCAGTTCCAAACCACCAGCCACTCCATGAGAGAAAGAGGAGGCTTTCCACTCCTGTAAATACAGATCTGCAGTCTTAGAATTCCCCAGGCGCAGTTCTAACCTACCCTGCAGGATCATTATGTGTCAGAACTGACTCAGTGACAGGAAGTTTACATCCCTAAAATTAGTAGAATAGCTTTAATGCTGTAGACATTCATTAAGTGATTGTCCGTCACATCAACAAATGCAGTGGAAGGGGTTTTAATCTTTGAGCCACTGAGTCACTGGAGACCAGGAGATTATTGCTATCATCAAGTAAACAGAATGTTCAAAAGTCTATGATTTCTAATTGTAAAAGTAACAGAAACAACACAGATGATGTCTTAGGGTAATGTGATGCCTGCAGAAAGAACAGATTCTTATCTGACCAGCATATCAACAAGAATATATATACATATTATATAATTTTACTTTATTGTGAGTTAATCCAGATATCATATCATTCCATAGTTCAGTCACATCAAGCAGTATTGCTACCACAGTTTCCAAATGTTCTTTCCTTCCTGGATGTCTTGACATTGTCTCCCTTTGACCTCTGCCACTGCCCAACCACTGAACACTCCCCTCCTCCCCAAAACCCTTATTCTACTTGCTGTCCCTAGAGGTTCATCAATAAAATATATCTTTGTTAACAATCTTAGTTTATTATCAAATTTTCTCCTCTGCAGTATGTGAGTATCTCAGTAATATTCCATTCAATAAATATTTACTGACGACTACTGTGAGCCAGCCACTCTTCTGGCCTGCTTTCCAAGAGACACAAAAGAACAAACCTGATGCAGCAGTGTTAGGGCAAAAAAGATGCTGAAGGAGAAAAACCAGGTGAGGAACAGATTTTTTCAGAGCAGTACAATGTCTTGGCATGAAGCTTTTAGAAAACTAATATACATATTCAAAATATTCGTGATACTCTTTCCTACAAGCAGAAGGTACTTATACTCTCTAAAATACTGAGAGACTCAAACCCAGGATTATGAAATGTACACAGGGAAACATGATGCACTTACCAGGTGAACTTTAAACTTCAAAAAATTACAGCACAAAGTAGGAATGAAGTGGTTCGCAAAATTCTCCTCTCCAAGACCTAATTTTCCATGCCGACCATCTCCAAAAGTATACAAATGGCCTATATCTTAAATGAGGAGAAAAAAAGAGAAATAGATCTATACAAGTAGTATCTTTCTAGTTTTCTAAGTTTTATTGACATAGAATGCATGTTCAGTGGTTTAATTATATTAAAAAGAGTTATTAATTCATCACCACAATCCATTTGGGAACATTTTCTTCATCCCTGGACCCATTCTTATTTTAGCTCCTTACTTTCCATCAACTTCCCCTGTCATAACCCGAAGAAACTATTAATCAATCACTGTCTCTATAGCTTTACCTATCCTGAATTTCACATATAGAAAATTATATTAAAAGGACCTCAAAAGAAAAAAAAACCCACAGAAAAGCTCAATCCAAATGAAAGTAGAATAAAAAGCAGAAAAAGTTTAAAATGTGTCAGAAGGGGAAACAAATGGCAGGATGTAAAATCTTAACCTATCTCTATCTGCAGTAATCCACTTTCCTAAGCTCTCTGATAACAAGACAGTTCACAGCATACATCCGTTTCTAAACAAATACTTAAGAGACATTAACTGCAATGACCATTTCCCCCTTCATTCTGGTCCATTGTTTCCACACACTCTGCACTCTCTTTGCTCCTGTAGATATGAGATGGAAATAAATTCCTAAAGCCTGTGAGCGGTTTATGAAGTTGGAAGCCAGTCACACCATGCCTTGTGTGGAGAAGCACGCAGTAGAAGTTCTTGTGTCACAACCATATACTCCAGATGAAGTTGTTTTTGTTTTGTTGTTTGTCTTTTTTGCATTCTGACCTTATACATCCAAGCATAAACTAAACTCTGTCATTGCTCAGATTAGGGCGTTTTCAACCTCCACAATATTGACAATTGGGGATAGAAGATTCTTGGTTGGGGATATGTGTGTGTGTGTGGGGGGGGGGTGTCTTGTGTGTTGTAGGATGTATTAAAATATCCCTGCCAGTGGAACACCTGCCAATCTATCCCGATTATGACAATAAAAATGTCTTCAAACATTGCCAAGTGTCCCTGGGAAAATCAATCTAACTATCCCTTTCTGAACTCAGCTACTGCACTGAGGACTACTACTGAAGAAAAGGCCAGAAGCCTGCATCCTGCCTAGTCCCTTTACTATACCTGGGTCCTTGGCACATCTCTCCAGATAATCCTCTACCCCTGCCTAGCAGCTACTCTGAACCGTGGGTTCTTTTTCCCTAGCCGCCCCCACCCCTAACCCCTCCAAGTGCCATTGAAGCTGAAACGTATTTTCGTGGGTGCAGCGAGGGGATTCTGCCTCTAGCCTAGAGATCTAGAAGGCTTTCAAATGGAAGCCTGAAGGATGAGTAAAGCTTAGCTGCAAGAAGAAAGCAGAAGAACAAAGGGGTAAATTATATGAGATGGGGCAAGGGAGCTAAGAAGGAATCATGCCACAGAGGACCCTACTAGCTTTTAATAAGAATTTTGAACTCCACTTTAAGGGCAATGAGAAGCTAAATGAATTTTGAAGATAGAAAATAACATGACATTTCAGGCCTTCCAGTTCAAGTGGCAGAGTGATTGCATACAAAGAAAATACAAGAGGACTGACTGGAAAAACGATTAGAAATGATAGCATAAGATGGGAAGTTCCAAAATGAATGTATAGGAAAAAAATGAATTCCCTATCAATTGTTCTAACCACTGTTCTGATTCCTGTGCATAATTCTTGCTGTTTTCTTTTCCTTTCAGGTTGCCATGAGTCAGAATTGACTAGGTGGCTGTGAGGGGGTTTTTGGGGTTGTTGTTGTTGTTTTGGGTGTTTTTTGAGTTTATATTCCCTATTTCCTTTTTTATGCCTTTGCCTCCTACTTGACACAAATGTATCTGAGTACTCTTTGAGGATTTAAAATAGTTTTTTAAAATTTGTTTTTAGGTAGAAAAAAATTAACTCTGAACTAAGCCCTCCGATTACAGCCCTTACTTTAAACAGCTTTTCAGAATATGAACTATTGGTAATAATGGAGAACTGGTATGAGCTTAGAGATAATTCACTACACACCTATAATCATCATGGAGAAAACAAATCATCATGGAGGGAAAAAAAACCCTCTCCCCTGGGGAGAGACCATGAGCCAACAGGCAGTGCAGGTGATATTCAATTATTTCCTGATTTCACTCATTCCTTCTCCCATGGGGAGGAAAACTACTATGCAAATTTAACTAAATAATCTAATGGTATATTAGATAATACATTAAAATGTCAACCATCAATGGCGATTGAGAGGTGCTAAAAATGGCAGTTAGGACTTAGAGACTGAGATTATGATGCCAATGTGAGGAATATGCACAGCAATAGTTCTTTTTTTTAAACCTTAATAAATCATTTTATTGGGGGCTCTTACAGCTCTTATAACAATCCATACATATCAAGCACATGTGTACATATGTTGCCATCCTCCTTTCCAAAACATTTTCTTTCTACTTGAGCCCTTGGTATTAGCCCCTCTTTTTTCCCCTCCCTCCCCCACCCTTCTAGCCTCATGAACACTTGATAATTTATAAATTATTCTTATTCTCATACTTTACACCATCCACTGTCTCTCTTCACCCATTTCTATTAGTTCTTATGGAACTATGAATGACTATGTCTTTAAATTCTATGCAATTTTATTTCATGCCATAGTAGCAAGGCCATCAATGCTTGATATTTGAAAAGGGAGTCTTCTCTGAAAGGTTCTTTGGGGAAGAAGGGCCAGTTTATGGTAGTATCTTGTATTTGTCAAAGCCTGGTTCTCCTAAAGTTGCCCTGGCGGTGTAGTGGTTACACACTGGGCTGCTAACTGCAAGGTCACCAGTTGGAAATCACCAATTGTTCTGCAGGAGAAAGACAGGGCTTTCTACTCCCCTAAAGAGCTGGAAACACTCGGGGGCACTTCTATTCTGTCCTCTTGACTCACAGTGAGTTGGCATTGACTCGATGGAGCTTGATTTGGTTTGTTGGAGTTCTGCTAACCAGCTACCTTTACCTGACGAGCTCCATCATAGCTGCAGCTTTTTAGAAAAGGGAAAAATAAAGATAGCAGTATCTGGATTGTTTCAAAATACTAGGTGGGCTTTTGACTTTTTAATGCTTCGCTGCTTTTATCGATTGAAATGTGACGTAGAAGGAGTGAAAATACATTTCCTGTTGCTCCTAAACCATGAACACAGGGGAAGATATCAATTACCTACAATTAAGTCACGTTAGGGAAGAACCTTTATTGAGTCCTACATTAACAGCATCCAATTTCTCTGATTGGAAATCGGCCCCAAAGCAACATTGCCCAGGCTACATGAAAAAGTACAGAACAGACGGTTTTCAGAAACCCGGTGTGTGTTCTGTCAGGGCTCTCTGAGGGCCCTTCTGTGCAGCACGGTGAAAGGAGCAGGAAGGAGTCGCTCCTGAAAGCGCCTCCTGGTGGCAAAGGTGTCATACAAATTGCTTGGCTTGAATGCAGTCTATCAGATTGAACAGGGAGACTGTTTTAAAATAAATTCTTTCTCTTGGGATTATTCTTTCTCTCCTGAGCATAAAGGGTTTCCAATTTGATACAGATTCCAAAGAGTTTAGCTTGCTGACAGCATGGACATATATGGAGGCTCTCAACCTATGGATCATTTCCATTTTTAAAAAAATGGAATTAAAATAAACCTAGGGAGGGGAAAAATGAGGACCTAATGCCGGGGGCTTGAGTAGAGAGGAAATGTTTTGAGAATGATGAGGGCAATGAATGTACAAGTGTGCTTTACACAATTGATGTATGGATGGATTGTGATAAGAGTTGTATGAGCCCCTAATAAAACTATTTAAAAAATACGCCTACTCTTCATTAATCTTGTCCAATGTTTCACATTTATGAAACTGGTAAAAAATATTCATTATCCAAATACTTTGTGCATTAACAATGTACACCTGGCAGTAATGACAAGATGGCTGTGAGAGTTACGGTTATTTGTGATAACTTGATTAGGATATGATTTACCGTTCTTTGGCAGGTATGTAATAACGTAATCTGGAAGTTATGTAATGATGGGATCTGGAAGTTGTGTGGACATTGTGTGATGATGTCATCATCCTCCATTTTGTGATCTGATGTGGCCATACTCCATTTTCACATAATGCTGATTGTCACATAGCAACCTGGTCTTTGGAACCAAGCCACGTCAACACGGGAAAAGTAATAAAATAGATGCCATGAGTTTAAAACTAAACACATTTGATTACTAAATAAGAAACACCATTTGCTCAATCATTAATCATTAAACTTAAGTTAAATACATACATTCCCTCTATTATTTGTCTTGCAACAAAATCTACAGTTGTGCAATAAAAATAGGACAGAAATTGTGATCCATACTTGTTATCAAAGCTGTATGATTTTCGCCACAGGAAATCTCACATATTTTCTGATCCTTCGTGAGTTCAAGGGGTGTGGGATTTGTTGCTTCAAAAATAAAAGTGCCAAGACCCAACTGGCCAAATTGCCCCAGCCCAAAGGTATACACTGCTTTCTCTGAAATAAAGAGCAGATACAAGAAAAGGGTTGCACGGAAGCAGGCCCAGTTGCCAGTGTGTCTAAAAACATTGTGACAGTCAATCTTTCTAATGAAGGTCAAGTAGTGCTCGTGAAAGAAATTCCTACTTAAGGATACCTAATACTTAAGTATACACTTCTCAATGACAGAGAAGGAGAAAAATTATAAGGCACCGATATGCAAACATCATGGCACGAGCCTGGTTTTATCTTTTACACATAACAATAAAAGGGAGACTGCAAGTAAGCAAACTGCATTGCTTCTAAGGAAACAATATAGATGAGATACGTAAGTGGACGAACTACTTGAAATTTCCCTAAAATTTCCACACTATCTCTATAGAAAGTACCTATTGTCATTAAGCTGATTCTCACCACTGCTTTAAATAACAATTTTAAAATTGTGCTCTATATGGGGGAAAAAAAACCTTACCTTTAAAAGGAGTTTAATAATTTATTTTATAAAATACAAATTCAGAAGAGAATCTGCAACAGATTTAAAACAGAGTCACTCACTCACTGCCATCAAGTCGATTCTGACTCAGAGCAACCCTATAGGACAGGGTTAGAATAGAAAGCCTTGTCTTTAGCCCCCCAAAACATACAGTGGATATGCTAAAGGAGCTCTGGTAGTACTGTGGATTAGGCATTGCACTCTTAACTGCAGGGCCACTGGTCCAAACGCACCAGCCTCTCCCTGGTGCGTTTGGACCAGTGGGGCTATCTGCTCCCATAAAGATGTCAGTCTTGGGAAGCTTGGAATCTACTTTAATGACAACGGGTTGGGTTTGGACTTGGTTTAGGTATGCTAGATTTATTCTCCAGTAAGGATCCCTTTACTGGGAATTGCAATACGAATACTTTAAAATTGATTTCAAAAGCTCATCAATAACTCTTAGCTATGATTTTCTAGAAATGGAAAAGCATAGAAAAACAAGATAAATGAGTGGCTGGTGATGAAAGGGATAGTATATGCACTTACAACTCCCGCTGGCCAACATACTCAGAAATGCAGCACTTATTACTTCATTATAGTCCTCCTTTCGGTTCAGCACCAAGTTGCTAATAGAAAGCTGAGTGGTTTGAACCTACCAACCGCTCCATGGTGGAAAATGTGGCAGTATACTTCCCTACAGACATCAACCAACCCACCCACTCGTTGCCACTGAATTGATTCTGATGCACAGTGACCATGCCTTGGAAAATCTATGCGGCAGTCCTACTGTGTCCTACAGCGGTGCTATGAGCTGGAATCAACTCAATGG